GTATTACCGTGAACGGTATAATATGGCCCAGCCCTACTAGCATTCATGAGAAATCCGTCGCTTGGGTGTGCTGCAAAAACAACTTCCAGGACTTAAAGGATGTGCTACTCACATGTTGCCTCCTGACAGGACACCTTTATAGGTTGTAGTGATTAAGAATTGTTTTGCTAGCTTAATGGGAACTTACATAAAGCCTGCCTGGTTTTATTCAAGATCTGTGCTCCAAAACAGCAAATATTTCACACTTTTGCATCAAAAATAACAAAATCAACTGCACTTTACAATCAAAGTAGTTGTATAATTGACTATATTGGTACGCTGGTATAAAATTAATATGTAATCATTGCAGGTTTAATTGAATTATTTGCAGTGTTCACTTTGGATTCTTCGTAGGGGCCAACACAGCACTCTGGCTAATGAGCAGCCAAGCTGCAGCAGCCACACCCGTGGAAACTGAGTACGATCCAGAGGACAACGCATCTGCCAACGGAAAAATTAATTTAGAGAGATAAGGCTGAAATATCCAGCTGCATTTATCTTGGCAGCAACAAGTAGCAGCATGTATTTAGAGGCAACAGAAAGCGGTGTGGTGTCGGTGTGTGCGCTCAGCCAATTTGCCAAATAAAATAAGTGTTCCCCCAGCTTTAGTGGGCTCAACAAGAAAACAAATGCCTGATTAAATAAGAATATGCTCCTAGTCAGCTCTCAGAGTCAGACGAGGGTGCTGAGGAGAGATGCATACAACAGCTGACCGACTGCACAGCTCCCAAATGCTCTAACAGAGACAGGAGGAGCTCTCTGTGGGGGCCATCTGTCCTTACAAACAGGTGTGCACTGCTCCCAACAACTGCAGCAGCAGCAGGACGAACGCTGAGAACCCAGCACAACAGAGCTGAGCTGCAGCGGGAGGCTTCTTCCTGTGCCAGAAATTAATTCTTGCCGGGTTTGGTCCAACCTGCTCTAGTCTTACTTCCTTATTGATAAGACTTGCAAACTATCGGGCGACGAGTCAGGGACTATTTTAATAACCACTTTAGTCATGAAAAAGTAAAATGCCTCTGGCTTTGCATGAGACACATCCCACATTTGACTGAGGTGCAATAAACAAAGTTCTCAAAACAAGCAGAAATCCAGCGATGTTCAATTCACTGTCACTTAAAAACAATAAAAAGTTAGCAATTAATCTTCTATTCTGTTTGGAAAAATGACAAATGGGGAGAAAGAAGGTGCAGTGCATCACTGTGGTCCACTTTTCCTATCCAACCGAGGTTCAGGCAACAGAAGGAGACCTTTTGCTCCTTGTAACCTCTTTCTGACCTCTGCACATCCACTCAGCACTGCCAGCACCACCAGCAGTACAGAGTAAGTTCAGGATATCATGGCAAAAGTCATCACCTCTGTGTGTGTGTGTGTGTGTGTTTCAAATGAATACCACAGAAAAGTGAACAGAGGAAGTCTTTGTGGAGTCAGAGGGCCAAACATCACTGCTGAAGCTGCAGTATTTTCCAAAAAGCAGCTAATTACCTTTCCTCTTAAACTGTGACATGTGTAGCAGCATGCACGAGGATGTTATTTGATACAGAATAGCCTTTAAACGTGACAGGGACACACTTTGAGTTTGGAAACAGGGGTGCTGGTCAGAAGAAAGCAAAGTGGGCTCACTAAATAAAAGCCCCACGGGGTGTGGACAGACAGCTGTTGGGCTCGTGCCTACACCACGCCCCCCACCCATCCCCATCCAAAGGCTCAAAGCCTGGACTGCTACTGGTCCGACCCCTTCGCTGAACCACTATAACCAGTGTTCAGCACAGCTGTCAGTTTGCGGAGACAGGTGGGAGGGAGAGACAAGAGCGCCTCTTCTCCCTCCTGAATTCCCCAGAGAGCAGACTTGTGCTTCACTCAGGCCTTCTTCACCCCAAAACTGCCTTAATGCTCATTTCAAAAACACGCATCAGCTCCATTTTCAGCCTAAAAGGCGCGAAACCCCACAGCAGCACCCATCCCGTTGTCAGCCTGTTGAAGAGGATACAGTCAACAAACTATATTATGGATGTTTGGGAGCGCGCATGGGGCGTGCACGGTCACCGCAAACCAACACCGTCACGACCTCCCTGCAGCTCTCACCCACACCAACCTGCGGCTGCTCCGGCTAACGAGTCCGCCCTGAGGACGCTGTTGGCGGGTTCTCACCTGGTCAGAGCCGCCGCTGGAGCCGCACGACAAGCTTGGCGTTAAAACGCGCCCATCTTCATCACATACTGGCGACGCAAAACATCCGGCCGGACTGCAGCGTGACCCAGCCAAACTGCGTCAGGCTGAAGAGAGCGACGACGCGCATTCCGCTCTACCGCTCTTTCAAAATAAAAGCAACCCAACCAACCGCCTGTTCAAGGGGAAGAAAGACAAGCAGAATTTCTTATACCAACACTTGTGTACTTTTCTTCTGTCTTATGTTTGTCTGGTATAAGATATAACAACAAACCCTACGGTTTGTTAGCAACTAACTTACCTCAAGACCCTCATCATAGCATACATTTCAAACTGAAAACCAGCCGCGTTTGAAGATTTTAACCTCTCTTAACGTAAAATAAAATCATACAATTAATAAAAACAATAATTATGATAATTTTAGGCTAAACAGGAAACTGTACCAAAAGTGTTGAGGCTCGCTTTACTAAAATTATTGCGCTTGTGGTACCTGTGTGCGGCGCGATCATCGATGGGCGGTGAGGTGTGCACCGGCGCCATCTTGCGGTGAACGTGTATTATTAGCAAGTCCTATTTTCCTCCCTTCAAACATTAATATGCGTTTAAATTCTGCTTGACACCTTGTACTTAAACTTTTTTTTTTTTGTAATTCTGTGAAGTGCAAAATGCAGCGTTTTAAGTAGAAAATAATAAGGTGCAAATCTGGAACTCCAGTTCCAAAAAGCTATCAGGCTGTGTGAAATGTGGATAAAAAGAAAATGCACCTATTTGGAAACCCCACGAGTCCGTATTTTATTCACAATGGAACATAGAAAACATCAAATGTTTGAAATGAGAAATATTTTGCATTTGGTGGCAGCACAACATCTGTAAAAAGTTGGAATGAGGCAACAAAAAGCTGGAATAGTAAGTGGTACTGAAGAGAAGCAGCATGAGGTGTAAAAAGAGCTTCTTAGAGAGGCAGTTTCTCACAAGTAAAAATGGGCAGATGTTCATTAAACAAAACATTTTTCAAATTCTGAAACTGTTTCAGAAATATGTTTGTCAATGTAAAATTGTAATGATTTTGAATATCTCACTATCCGCAATACATATCATCAGATGATTCACAGAAGCTGAAGAAACCTCTATGTGTAAGGAAAAAGCTGAAAATCAACTTTAGGATAATTAGTTTTAGTGTATATTTGCTTGACTGTTCAAAGCATACATCATTTAAAAAGAGAGGGTTTTTGGAAGGGTTGTGAGGAGAAACCAAAGTGGAGATATTTGGCTATTAAAACAAAACAAACCAGCATAAATTCCTCAGGCACGGTGGTGGAGGGGTGATCATTTGGGCTTGTTTTACAGCCGCATGACCTGGGCACCTTGCCGTCACCGAGTTGACTACGAACTTCTCTGTGTACCAAAATGTGGGCATTTATCTGACAGCTAAGAGCATGTCCAAAATGTAGCCATGCAACAGGACAATGATCCCCAAGCACAGCAGTAATGCTACAACAGAACGGCAGAAAAACAAGAGAATCAAGCTATTGCAGTGGTCCAAAGTCCAGACCTCAACCTGACTGAATAGCTGTAGCAGGACCTTAAAACCTCAGTGAGAGGCGGTCAAAATTCATCCACAACAACGTGAGAGTCTGATGACATCCCACAAAAAAAAGTTATTGCATATGAAGCTTCATATATCATTCAGTTATGTGGCTTCTGACAGTCACACGTGCACCACTTTAAAAATCAACTGATGCAGATAAGCCAGGCAAGCCTCCTCTGTAGCTCGAAATGTAGAGTGTCATTTCCAATCCGCCCCATTTAGTCCCACCTTAAACAAGCGCAGGCCCAGAAAGAGCAGCAGCATTTCTTAAACTTCTGTCTCCTTTTTATTTTATTTTCAATTTGTTGATGCAGCAGTAAATAATATTTACAGATTATGTTACAAAGAATGACGCAGCACTGTAAATTCCTTTTGATTTTATTCAATGAAAGAAAAAAAACCTTCAAGAAAATACAGTAATTCCCATAGTACACACAGAGAGGACATAAATTAGAGGCATGTAGAGAGACATCCGGGGGGGGGACGTGTCACCTGGCAGGTAGAAAACATTAGATCCGTGCTGCCACACAGCCAGGAGCGCACACACTCACGCACACAGTGCACTAAGGAGGATGTAAAGGAAATCAGTGAAATTGACACTCTGGGCTTGGGTTATTCATAAAGTGAGCAAAAGTTGATTAATCCTGTACACAAACATCTAAATGAAAGTACAAAAAAAAGGGTTAATACAAAATACAAAAGAGGAGCAGTGGAGCGGGAGAAACCATAAATATTCATATCGATGCACATCGGTTTAACAAAACAACTGCTTCTGTAAACATTTTGAACATAAAAGGTGTGCATTTAAAATAAAACCACTGCAGTCGCATATTTATCTGAAGGGTTACACATGATTGGAAACAACACTAATAAAAACTAAGCCAGAGTTTAAAAACACAAAAGTATGCCACATGGTTTTGGCTGTCTGGAGCGGTTTTTCACACCATCAGAACATGTGATTCATTCATTTATGTTTTTGCCTTCTTTCTTTCTACACAAACGACAAGACTGAAAGCGACTTCTGCACCTCACAGCGGGTCTCCCCCTAAAGACAGCGAAGGCACCGCCCTTTAAAGAGTCCTATTATGAAGCTCTGTCATTCACACAGAAGCACAGCTGCAGGATGGACTCTACACTCAGCGGCGGGATGAGACTGTCTCATGTGAAGTGACAAACGAGTCTCGCCTTGTCGTTCGGGTTTCCGACGGTGAGATGGGAAGAAAGAGCACGAAATAAAAATTATTTTATGGGAGCTCGGTTAAAGTAGCGCGTCTCTTTAATCCAGATTGGATGTGGCATGCCTGAATGCGTCAAGAAAAAACAGAAGGAACATAAAAATAAATGAGGTCCAACATTGAGTCACACGGCTGCTTCAGACTAAAGTGTTCCTACCCTAAAATCTAAACGTCTTCACTTTTGAAGTAGTGGATTTTAGTTTTTTTTAAGTTTTTTTTTTTTGTTTAAATTGCTGGAAACTCCTCTAAGGCAACATTAAGTTGAAGTCTCCTTCCGAACGCAGATGATTGTAGATGTGAAAATGTCACAACAGTGCAGGTGGAGGACAATCTGCTGACCCTCCCTCCTTTCCTCTAAGTGAGATCTATACATGCTGCCCTCATTCTGCCCACTGGCCTCCATGCTACCTTAATGGCAACCTGCTAATTCACAGTTTACGCTAGCCCTACTTACAACTGATCTTAAAGGAAAAATCCACCTTAAAAACATAAAACTATTTGTATTAAAACCTCACATTTCTGGGTCTATTTTGTCGGTGTGTGTTTCTATATTTCCAGTAGAACGACAGGTTCTGCAAAGGAGACACAGATTAAAAGGAAAAGCCAGGATTTCATTAAAAAAATAAAAGCCCCTGAAGAAAAAAAGAAAAAACAAAAAGGTCAGGCTCTTGATGATAAATAGTGGATTCTTCCTTTAAAACTCATTTTTGTGTGTATTTCTGCATTCCTTATTTATGCGCAGCAAGTCACATATAAAATATACAGTGTGTTTAAAAAACAAAAACTGGGACTACCTTAGTTAATAACACCAAAGCAACATGCCGTCATAAAAAGGGCTACTTTTGTCCAACATGAGCTACAGCACAAGAGGAGGCGTGATAAAGCTGTTCTTGAAAAACCTGCGCGAGTCCGACGTTAGTATGCACCAACTCCAACATATCCAGTACCCTGTATTTAATGGATGCGTCGAGGAGGTCCCTTAAAAAAAATCTTCACTTTCAGGAGGTTAAGGAAGAGGGAAAAAAAGTGAAGACGAAGAAGATTTACATGTCAAGCACCGTTCAATCTGTGGAACTAAGTGTAGTCGTAGTGTTGTAGTCACACACCTGACAGGACCGGGATTAAACACAGCTACACATTCAAGCTGTGGCAACACACACACACAAACACACAGTCTTCTCTGATACGGTGACGGCTGTGTTTAGCGTTCTGCCCCCTCCCCCTGGACAAACACATTTTGTCATACACTTACAAGATGCAAAGTTTTACTTTAAGTTTTACTTTAAGATATACCGTCAACAGGCAACAGATCCCGCTTCCTCAGAGGGAGAGGAGGAGAATGGGGATCGGCTCGAAGGTCAGGCAACAAGGCCGGGGGTTGGCGGGGGGAAGAAAAACCTGCAGGCGCCTCTAAATACATATCCACCCCTAGCTTCTGTTCATGATTACAGTCTAATCCGTTGTTTGGCTGCCCGAGGACATGAGAAATGGAAGCCGCCGCCTCAGAAAATGCTTCTCCAGCTTGGGCTTTAAAACGTCTTCGTCGGTCGTAGTCGCAATAGTCATCTGTTGGTCGCTGCTTAGGTAACGGTTGTCATATCGGCTGACGGCACGTCTCTACCAGCTCATGAGGGATGTGCGTCCCAGGGTCATGAAATATACTTGGCTGGCACCTCCGGCACGCACAGAGGCAAAGAAGACCTGAAATTGAAAGAATACACTGAGTGAAAAGGTGTTTGGTGGTCGTCCCAGGCTACCAACAGTAGATTAATAATAGTAGAGTAGATGTTAAAATAAAATGTTAAAGAAATCTATGAGGTGACCTGAAGAGGGCGATGAACAAGATATTCCCTCACCGTTTCCCTCCCCTCATCTCCAACTGGTCATGGCAGATGGCCCCCCTCCCTGAGTCTGCAACTGTTAAGAGTGTTTTTCCCTCCCACTGTCACCAAGTGTTTGCTCATAGGAGATCACCTGATTGTTGGGGTTTCTCTGCATTATTGCAGGGCTATTACCTCACAATATTAAGCGCCTTGAGTGTCGAGCACTTTTGCATGGGAGAGAGGGCAAATATTACCAAGACTGAATGCTGTGATTAAAGGTTCTTCAGCAGTATCACTTAAAGGATGTGCACTTATGTAACCAGCAAAACTGATTTGTTTTTCAGTTGGATTTTACAGGTTATTGGTGACGTTGAAGGTGGAAAAGTTTTGAAATGATTTATTGCAGTATTGTGTTTTCAACAACAAAAACCTGACATATTATTTGGGGTGTGCTCACATTTATCTCCACTGTATAGAGAGAAACAGGAGGGATGAAGAAAGGAAGGATGTTTTCACCTTGTCATTCCTCTCACAAAGGAACTTGAGTCTCTGGGCTCTCTTGTGCATGAAGACTCCGTCAAGGTGGCCCGTCTCCACTGAGCGGATCTCTATAGCCTTCTCACCCCAGCCCATGATCTGGTTTGACCTAATGTAGGCTGCACAAGCACAGAAAGGGGGAAAGGAGGGTAAGTAGCTGTTAAAAAAGCTGTAAAAATTCAAACAACGTGTCATTTTACTTGTGAATACTTCTAATGATAAATGTAATACTTTTACATATTGATAAAAAAAGAAGCTATTAAACAAAAGTGTCTAAAATCAAGTGAAACCTCGACTGCTGTTGGAGTGTAATCGATGCATCAAGTGAAGCTGCTGCTGGGCTTTTCACATCTGATTGTTTTATTTTGAAGGTTGAACCTTCACTCTGCTGCACACTGAAGTTGCCAGCATCATTTGCACCATTGCTTTTAGAGTTGGGAGATCACTTCTCCCAGTAAAATAATCAGAAGTCTCTGAACACAGGACTTTTCAGCCCTCTTCACTCACGGGGCGTTTTCACACCTCCAGATTTTTTTACTCTGGTCCAAATCAGCTGATAAGTTTGTAAACTTGTAGCTTTTCCCTGTGGTTTGGTTTGTTTTCACACAGAAAAATCCAAGCAAACCAAAATGTTTCACTGCAAGCCACATGAGAATGTTCTGTCCGCTCACTGGCCAGACGTATCTGGGGTGGGAGGAAGAAAAGTAAATACAGGAAGAAGGTGCTGTGGGAGAAAACAGAGTTTACACTCATTTCTTGGTTAGTTGCTAGCCCGTATAGACCTTTGCGCATCTATAGTAGCTACCTGCACTGAGAATACAAAGCATAAGTTGCTATGGGATATTTTTTAGCCCTTGTCACATGTTCTGAGTGGGCTCGTATCACGTTCACACCATAAATATAGTTTGTTTGGAACCACACTGAGACCACCTCCTGCAAAGGGTTTCAGTGCGGTGGTTTTTGTGCGATTCAGATTTTTCTGACCTCTGGCATCATGATGAGAAATATCTGCTTTTCACTTACCCACTGAAGTTGGCATTTCTCCCCACTGCAGCACCACATCTTTGGTGATGCGTCCGTAGGTGTTGACGTAGACGCCCTCGTCCTCGTAACACACCAGCAGCTCAATCCCATCAGTGTTGGGCAAGATGATGATGGCGTGGCACTGAATATTGGTTTGGATCTGAGGATGAAATGGAGGAAAAAGGTAAGAGATTTTAAAAAGTCCCCTCACTGCCAGTCGCAGCAGATAGCCGCCCCTCACTGAGCCTGGCTCTGCTGGAGTTTGTCCTTTGCACGGTCACTAAGGGCTTGCTCATAGGGGGTCGTTTAATTGTGGAGTTCTCTCTCCATTATTGTAGGTCTTTACCTTATAATATAAAGTTGAGGCGACTGTTATGATTTGGCATTGTAGAAATAAAACTAAATTCAAATTTAGAAAATGCAAAACACAAGACGTAATCAGTCTGCATCAGTTCGCACATACATGTGTGGGCAGGTAGATGTCGTAGACGGCACCAGAGTCCACATCCACAGCGTGGAAGCCTGAACAGGAACCGTAGATGACCTTTAACCTCTGACCTTCCTCCACCGTCAAGTCAACCAGCAGAGGTTTGTGCACCAGGTCACCAAAAGACTAAAGAAAAAAAGTCAGAAGAAAGTCAGCCTGAAAGCAGTCAGCCACCTGCAGGTAGAATGACTCCTGTTAGAGAACATGCTTACCTTAAAGGCCATGAACTTGTGATAAGGTTTGGGCGCCCACGCGTAGACCTCCACAGAGTTCTTCAAAGCCAGCACCAAGAATTTAATTCTCTCGTACTTCACTGGAATAACAAGTAGGTGGCGAGTTAATCATGGGTGATGGCTCCTATGGTGATCTTTGTGGATATTTTTTTTAATTCTTGGACTCTGCTAGAGCAGCTTTGCATGATTCAAAATTCAAAATAAGCCTTATTTATCTTATACTGAGCCTCAGAGCAACCTCTGAGCTCTAAGCTGTTCAGCTTTAAGCCCTTTTATGCCCCCTCTATCTTCAAGGCACCATTTCCTTTTTCCAGTACATCTAAGCTTTAGGAAACGTACCAACTTTGTAGTGGACACAGCCCTCCAGGTCGCCCACATTGACCCACCCCTGCTTCTTCTCCACCTCAGGGTCATTGTGCAAAATCTTGTTTCGAAGCCATGACAGGTAATACACTCGCAGCTTGTTCTTTTTGCCTGCAGGAGGGAGGAAACAAAAACAAAATCCATCTATCCAAAACTTTACTGATTAAAAATGAATCTGAATCGAGACTTTCTGGTTGGCACGTGTGCTCTACCTGATATGGTCACCAGGACGTTGAGTCCCTCTAGGACGTCCATCTGCTGGATGCGTCGACGGTTGATCAGAGGGTAGACCTTACCCTGACCGCTTCGGTCCAGCAGCATCAGACCGCTCTCTGTTCCCACCAGCAGATTTACTCCTGGAAGAGCAACAGGCACAAACATACGTCACTGCTGATAGGTTTTCATCCATCTGTGGGGCATCACAGTAACTCCATATTTTTGAAGTTGACTCACCCCAGAGTGCCGCACACAGGATCTCAGAGTTGAACCTCTTCTTGTACTTGCGAATCTCCGGGGTGTCGCTCGGTGGACGAGTGTTGACCGGGTTGACATTAACCACCGAGCCTTTACGGGATGGGTCGGACCGCAGCTGATCTGACAGGCGCCCGTCTTGCCCAAATCCAGCTGGAAAGGGAAAGCAGAGGCAGTGCACATTAACTTTGCAGATAACAGAGAGGAATTAGTGTTGAAGATGCATTTTTGCAGTGGGCTGTATATCCAGACTTACCCATGTTGTTGAGGGAGCTCCCGCTGGATGGAGATATCTGCAGCAGACGCGGGTCGATGAAGGGCGTGAACGAGGAGGAAGACTTGTGTTTGGACATGGAGTTGCTCTCCGACTGCGACTGGTGGAGATATCGGATATTTAGAAAACCTAGAGCTCAAAACATTCCCAATAAAATAACTTCAAATGCACCGAGCTGAAACATGAATCAAACTTGATTTGTTACAGTGATTTGTAATTCCTAAGAACGACTGTTTATTTAAACGGCAGCAGAGGCCCCTCAGGTTTGAGCTTATGAGTTATAGCTCTACCTCTGGGGTCTCGTTAAACAACATCCAGCTTAAATGCCTTCAAAACCACATTTTTACAGCACAACTGGGAACAAAGTCCCCCCACCACCCACCGCGGGAAAAAAGCAAATGAAAAAGATTAAGTGCAGTTATGTTAATTGTTTTGATGTTAGTGAAGGCACAAAATATGTCAGAGGACAAACAACATGTGCAACAAGAAGAAGAAAAAAATGTGTTGAAGGAAACATTAAGTGATCCAAACACAGGCTGCTGTGAACTGTTAGAGAAGAAAAAAAGCTGCTCTTAATGAAGCACAGACACACAAGGATACTCCACCACCCAAGACGCATGTTGTTTGCAAGGTAGTGCTGCTCTATAAATGGGACATTTATCTTAGAAATATTCATACAAATCCCAAGAAGCTCGGGCTTTAGTTTCCTGCGTGTTATGAGCACGTTGCGCCACAAGGAGGCGCCAGTGTTAGCACAGTGTGATGCAGTGAGGTGCGGGAGGGGAAAGGAGGTTGCAGCAGCTCAGAAGATTCAAACCAGCTGAGTGAAGAGTGAGCAGAGAAGAGGAAGTGTGAAGCCAGCAGGACATGGAGGAGGAGAGGATGCAGGGCAGGCAACCCAGGAATGGACAGCTGACGTGTACAGACCGAGATGGAGGTTTGCATTTTATAGCCGTCACAATAAACCTGATACCATTTTTTTAAGCTATACAAAAAGTCTGCACATTTTTTCTACTGCCCACTCCTCAGCTGTTTGCCCTTAGTTGTGTGATGGGGACATACCTCTATGGCAGTGAGCTCGTCCAAAGAGATCTGTGGGGATACTGCAGGACTGGCATGGCTAGATGATGAGGGTAAGGAGGAGGTGGTAGTGGTGGTGGAAGAGGAGGAGGAGGAGGAGAAGGAAGGGATGGTTGTGGAAGAGGAAGTGGAATGATGGCTCTGCTGGATAAGGTCTGGTAGGTGGTGTATGCGGCCCGGAAAGCCGTTTTTCTCTAGCGGGCCGCGACCAGGGGGTTGGGGTTGGCCGTGGCCAGCCGAGGAAGGAGAGGAAGATGAGAGAGTGACCAACCGCTTTATGTCAGCTGTGCTCTGGAAGCAAGAACAGGCACACTTGGGCTCAAGCAAGCAGGTGGGAAAGAAGGTGGAGCTGTGTGTCTGGCTGCTAGCCTGCTGCTTGGTGTAGCAACCTGACATATTAAGATTATTCATCTTCAAATGTGAAAGCCTATGAAATGGCATGATCATATGCAGGAACAACCAAGAACTTGTGGAGAATGAGTAGTTAAAACAACACTGACGCTGGACAGAGAAAATTCTAAACTACATTCCTAATCAGCACCACCAATCGGTCAAAATCAGGCACCACCGGCCCGTCCTTCTTACCTGTCTGATGACCAGTGTGCCATCCTTGGAGGGTGTGGTTGCCTGTTCGCTTTCCGAGTCTTCGACCAGCATGGTTTTAGCAGACTCCGTCTCGCCGTTACTCACTCTCCTGCGGAAGCCATGGGGATATCTGATGTCCCATAACCAGACCAGAGTTAAACCAGCAGTCATGCAGATAAGCCATGCAGCACTGATTAATAAAAGAGGCATCAGGTGTATTACCCAGCTTTGGAGTCCTCGGCCCCTGAGGTGGACTCTTCTCCTGCCTCCTGGTCCACCTCTTCCTCGTCCTCCTCGTCGGTCGTGCCCGACTCGTCACTGGAGGAGGAGTAGTCTGTGACCTTGTGAGGAGGTCGCACATCGTCGACTGCGCGCAGCTCCTTGGCGAGCGCTGTCAGGTCCTGAAAGCAGCAGCGAAGGTTTTAGACGTGCTGACAGGTCAACCTGCGAGCTCAGGTCCATTTCTCCGCTTTGGTGCAAGTTGCATTCTGCCTGAAGCAACGGCGCTAAGACCACTAAGGCGGTCCCATTTCTGGGTGGCCCTGTTTGGTTCATACTAATGAAATTTTAGTTGGCTTAGATTTTTCAGCACAAAAAGAAACTGCACCAAAGAGGACAAACACTCCAAGTTTAAAACCTCCCTCCATAACAGAGGTTGCCCAGACAACGCATCAATATGATAGACTGGGCACACAAAGTGGACCCATTGTGCCTTTTGGCTGAATGATGTCATAGGGTGCACAGATACCCTCCCCCCCACCCATTATCTTCATCTAAGGCACACAGAAGCTCCACCCACCTACTGTTCAAACATCCTGCTTAGGGAGGAGCAGCCAATCAGAAGAAAGCTGGCTTTAAAAGGGAGAACAGCTAAAAAGTACAAAGCTACACTGGCAGACTTCAAGACTACAAATATTGAGTCTGAAATGAGCAGACTAGGTCCACTTTAAATAAAAAGGCACAACAGGAAATCGTACTGTAGAAAGTCTGAAATCTGAATCCCTCCTTGGTTCAAGGAACTGTTTATGTTTCTACTTCGTCTCTTTCACTTGTGGGTACAAACCTGTACCGTCTTTTTCCATCTTTTAAACAACCTTCATGTAGTCTGACCTCTAGGAAACAGTGAAGTAAGCAGCATGTTGTATGGGGGAATGTCAGATTACTAAAGAGCCTCTTTCTGTGGCCTAAATGAGTGTTTCACCTCATCCTCCTTAACATGTTTGTCCTCTTCATTTTCCCTCGCCCCTTTGTCATAATATAGTCGCATAAGCTTCTAAAAAGAGCAAGAAAAAGAAGGAGGGGATACTTCCGTGCTTCCAAGCCACAGTTTATCCACAAACACAAACAGGTGATCGCGAGCCATTCTGACAAGTACAAGGGAACACAGGAGGGGCGTGTTTGCATTCAAATGTGGTTGCATTCAAATCTAGGAGCAGGAAGCTGCGGCGCAGGGTTAACCCTCCTTTTGTCTTGTGCATTTTTCTTGAGAGCAAGCGCAAAAAAAAAAAAAGTGGAGGCGTATGGAAAGGTGCCAGGGGACGGTAAAGGCAGAAATGAAATAGTGAACCAATCTCCACAAAAGGAGCAAATGCCTTTTATCTGAAATCTTTATCGTGTAATGCCATGAGCAATGCATGAGCAGTGGTGCAGGCATAGCAGAGGTGAGATTATGTAATCTCAGTTAATAGGCTTACCACATCACCCTAAGCAAGGCACCCCACCCAAACAATCAGGAAGCATTGGATTCACGTAAGGTTCCCACACCAGGTGGTTGGATAATTGGAGCAGTGGAAAATAGAGCAAAGTGGGAAAAACTGTTTTCACCTATTCATTTTCAAGTTTAACAGCACTCGAGTAACAGTGGACTTACAGCTGGTCGAGTGGGCCTGGCGACGTTCTTTTCATCCTGTTTCTTGGAAACGTTTTCAGGCCGCTGGAGAGGCGATCCTTCAGATTTGGAGGAAGCTTTGTGGAAATGAAAGGAAATGGCGTTAGTGAGGGGAGACCGAAGAGAGCTGGATGTGCGCAAAGGCGCTTTAATTGGCAAAAAAACAAAAAACAAAAAAACTTATTTGAGCACCAGCTCAGAGGATGGCATTTGAGCCAGATTTGTATAATTATGGTAATAATCCTAATCCGCTAATAAGCAGTCGGTAGGGTTAGTGAGATGTAGCCGAGTACAGTACCAGGGGACTCACAGCGTGGCCTGAAACGGTCCCCAGGACTGGCCTGGGAGCTGGAGTTGGAGGAGCCGGACGAGCTGCCGCTGCCTGGCCGGGACTGCAGCTTCTCCACTCGATCCCACAGCGGACGCTGCTCCACGTTACTGTGACGAGGAAGAACAAGCACATGGAAACAAACCCAACTCCACTGTCAGTTTATCATGTGATATGTTAACATTTTGTCCCTACCCTCCCTGCGCTTTTCAGGATACGCTACATATATTTTTGTGATTTTGATCGTACTAATTCAAGCTAAACTTGGATTAGTGGGAGTTTACATCACCGCAGAATCAAAGCACATTTTTTTGCATTTTATATGCAAACATAAGCAACTTATAAATATTAATCTGCAATATTATAAGCAGTCATAATATTATGTCTTAATAATATGTCTTTTCTAGCATTTGTTTTTATTTTCTGAAACTCTCTATTCTGAGAGGCACCCCTATGTAGGGGAGGGGTTACTGTTTTGGCTTTTACAACTTTTAACAGCGTCCATGTGAGCAGCTCTCTTAGATAGACCACATCCACATAATCCAAAAGTGAGACACGCCTGAGGTCTCTTTACCCACCTGCCTGCGTTCCTCTGTCCGCCCTGATTGCTGGGCTGTGAAGGCAGAGGGGACTCTCTACGTGACAGTACAGGAGACCTGGATGTTGTCCTCACTGGTACCTGGGAGACAAGTATTTGATGATCATCACAAATGAATATGTTCCTAAAAACAATCACCTAATAGGAAAACAGTGTCATCAAACAAGGGAGCTTATCCTCTGGTTCAGGCTCATGCTAATTCAGTGAGCATACATTGGGATTTGAAGCTGAAGTGGAAATCAGCCTAGAATTTAAAAACTGTCCTAGTTTGACCACTGAAACAGAGATAATCTTAGGGCGTAGCTGAACACAGCGGAGCAGAGAACAGTACACCCCCACAACACACTGAGAGCGATTTAGATTAGAGGAATGTGCGGTTTTATTTCTCATTCATGATTTTGAATATGAGCGATGGGGTAATCTGTCGGCCCAGAAATTCAAAGTTGCTCTGATTCATTTGAATACGCCCTCACAGCAGTTTTAAGTGTTAACAAGTGAGACTAGACGCAGCAAGGCAGACGCACACAGCCAGGAGGAGGCTGAACAGCATGCTACGTAAAAGTGGATGAGAGGAAGTGAGCGATGGAGGAGAGATTTGAAGGCTGGGTGTGGGAGGAGGGGGGAGAAGGCAGCCGTCCCCCGGCACCTTACCTTGGGAGGGACCTCCTCGCTGCTGGCCTGATGTTCAAGCCTAGCCTGAGGGTGGTGGAGGGGAGGTTGGGGTTGGGGATCTGTGCGTGCAGGCGATGGGTGGTGGTGGTGGTGATGGTGGGGGTCCTGGGAGCGCAGGTGAAGTTGTGCAAAGCTAGAGGCCACACCGCCGGACTCGCTGAAGGACTGAGAGCGGGCAACCACGGGCGGAGGAGGAGGAGAGGGGGCAGCGCTGTTGCTGCTCTTTAGAGCAGCCAGGTGAGACCACTGGACCTTTTTGGGAGTCAGGAAGAGGAAGAGCAGGGGGGAGGGGGTGAAACAAGCAGACAACACAGTGAGACATGAGGGAAGATGCGTGTGGCTTTTTACATAATGTACACATGCACACGGCAGACAGCACAACACGAAACAATGACTTTTTCACTCTTACAGTCGGCGTTTTGTTTTTTTACAGGAATCAACCATTTGAAGAAAGAGGAGCCTGTGTCGGTGTGATAAATATGACGCTTCTGTTTCAAAAGTGTCATTCCAAATTACACATTACAATTTCTGAGCTTTAAAAAAGGTTCAAAGGCAGATTATGTTGCAATCAGCCTATCCCAGCTTTTCTGCTGAGTAACATACACAAGTAGTGCATTTTGCAGAAGTCTGCTGCAAGCAGAGCATCTAATTGCTTTTGCAATAAGCCACTGTCGTCAGTACTTGTTTTATATTCATGTTGTGAACCCACAATTAGATTTTTTATGTGCAAAGAGTCTTTACTGAGGAAGAGAAAAATGAAAAACAAAACAAAAACACTTTTCTTCACAAAAATCCTCAAAGTGAAGAAAAGCTTCTTTCAAATTTATTAAAAATAAAAAAACAAATGTAACAGATTTTTACTCCTCAGACACACAAACATGAGTTTAAGCAAAGTTAAGCTGAATTCTGCTGACAAACAAAAAACCCACAAATCTGGTGCCATGTCTCCCCCCCTTCCCCCCCAAGATTGCAAAGTGCAGCAGATTTACTGAAGAGGTTACGGCTGCTATATGGCTGTTATTCTCCTCTAATTTAGTGTTGATTCGACAGAAATTGAACTGTCAGCGTGTGCTGGAGTTTTTTTAAACCCTCACTCTGAAAAGGTGATGAGGCTAAGTGTCTCACTCCCAAGTGTCTTAGCCACAGAGTGCAAGGTTGGTCATGCAGTTTTGCAGCCGTTATGATAAATTGGAGTTCAGTTTTCCCCCCCCCCACTCTTCTCAAGTGGAAATATCAAAGAGTTCAGGAGGTTAAGTGGCAAAACTGTCCCATTTCTCTGTTGATCTGTTCTTGAATTGTTCTGTGATTGAGAGCTTAGTCTGTAAAAGGTACATATTTTCCCACAAATACCACTACACCCATCTCTGTATGGGCATTCTTGTAGGAAAAAGATGACGCCACAGAGCGGCCCAAGAGAAATCATGAATATGTTCAGTATATTCAGCAAAAAGGCTGCGCTGAGCGTGCAAAAAGGATTTCAGGAGGGTAAATTATAGCTCTATTTGCTCATTTGAAAGAAAAACATAAAACAAAAGCGAGAAATAAAATGATTGGCTTTTTAGCACTGGCGGAGGCAGTGATTGATGAACTCATTCACTATATCAGGAGCCTGTCATGTTTTTTTAAAACTACTCAGACTGCTGACTGAAGTGCTTATGACTTATTGTGAGTCTCAACAGTAGGACAAAAATAATACCCAGGGAAATCAAAAAAGGTGAACAGTCTAAAGCCACAGTTCACTCAAACACACACATTCTGCCCAGCCTCGCCTTCTCCTATTTTTTATTTTATTTTTTTCTTTATTCGAAGTGGGCTAAATGTCTGAGAAAACTGACACAAATCCAGTGCAGCGACAGAATGAAGGAGGAGGAGGAAAAGGCTAGGGAGCAGCGGAGGAAGGAGTTACCTGAGGCTCCATGGGTCGGTGCATGGCAGATGCGTCGGACGAGGAGCCGCCGTTGGAGAACGGTTCAGAGGAGCGGGGAGGCAGAGGGGGCTGCTTGGGAGGGGCGGCCTGAGGGGAGCCCTGAATGTTCTTACGGTAGCGCTCGTCGGCCTGAGATGGAGGAATTGTAGAGGGTGGGTGAAAAAAAGGGATGAGTATCAGGGAAAAATTGATCTTGTGGTCTCTTAGGAAACTTTTACATTTAACCAACAACGATCAGCAACATACAGCTGGTGACAACGATATTAAACATGCTTGAAGCCAACTGTGGGCAGCCATACAGACAGATACATGTGCAGACGTAGGAGGAGAGGGACTCTTTCAAACACATCCCAGGATTTAAGTATGCAGTGGGGGGAAAGATCGCAGTTAATGACGCAGGCTTCGGTGCCCCTGCGTGTTAGTTTGGGCCTCAGTCATCCACATGCAGTGGCCCAGTCCACACACAGAGTCGACACAGCCACACTGAAGAATTTATCAGACTGGATGTCAAAAGACAAAGAGGAATCCCTGAAAGCTTCTTTATTCTAACTCTCCTAGACCTTAAATATATTTCTCTCTCGTTCAGCCAGCT